TGCATACATGAGACTTCCTACTGCCAAAGCATAAGGAACTATCTTCATGTCCTCTATGTAACAGCCCAGCTCAGCCGCTACAGAATATTGTCCGCTTTGGGTATACACCAGATCATTCCCTCACGGTTTAATCTGAATTTCTCGACAATTAATCGAACACTTAACTCTGAAATAACCTTACTAATATGATTACATGAGGGGGAGGATAATACCTATTGAATTGCTCGACTGAAATTGGAGAATAAGGTGTGTCCTCTTCACTCGCGTACTCCGTGCGGTGCCTAGCTTTGCCGTGCGATGGTGATATTCTTGGCCGTGCGTTTGATGGAAATTTTTGGAAATATGTCTAACTTCTGAAGGCTGCTATAGGGGATATTATATGCTGAAGATGATGTTCTCTCTTAATGGGAAAAATGGGGAAAAAATTGAACTAATGTCTTCCTTTTATATTCATGGTCGTGTGGGATGGTGATGATGTGCACATGGCGTGGCCATCTCCCACTCTTGACATGTGCTTGATTCTTATGGACTTTTGGTGTGACTAAGCATTCTCTTGGCTTGACAAGTGGTTAATCTTGATTGGTTGAGAAATCATTTCCTATGGCCGAAGGAAAGTCACGGCAATTGCACAATTTTGGGAAAAAATGCCTCTTAAGTACGGCTTTTATGATCTAAAGTAGTGATTAATTATGATTAATCACTCAATTTATGCTTAATTACTTAATTAACATAATGCTTAATTACCAAAATTATTTCGGACGTAAACGGTACGTCGAAAATAAATTTCGGTAATCTCGACTGAAAATAAATAATTCCGACGATAATAATTTAATAACATTATTATATCGGAACTAAACGTAATTTATACCGACAAAATATCGGGATATTACAATCCTCCCTCCTTACAATATTTCCGTCCTCGGAAATTCAAAACATGACTGATATACATGAACTATGTACATAGGATAAAGAAATATGTACATCAAAACTGAAAGTCTTGGAAACGAGCGCGAATGTCGGACTCTTTCTCCCAAGTAGCTCCGTGGCGATCCCACTGAATGCGCACGAGGGGGATATCTCGCTTCCGAAGCCAACGGACCTGACGGTCTAGTACAGCTACCGGTCGCTCCTCGTACGATAGATCTGGCTAAACCTGAATATCCGTATGCGGGATAACATGATCGGGGTCGCACACGTACTTACGCAGCATCGATGCATGGAAAACATTATGAATGCCTGATAACTCGGGAGGTAGGGCTAGACGATACGCGACCTCGCCTACTCGCTCGAGAACCTCGAACGGACCGATGAAACGAGGGTGCAATTTCACTCTCTTTCCGAATCGCACAACTCTGCGAATCGGACGAACTCTGAGAAAGGCTGGTTCGCCAACCTCGAACTGAATGTCTCGTCGATGATGATCGGCGGAAGATTTCTGTCGACTCTGAGCAGTCCTGAGTCTCTGCCGGATCAACTCGACCTGCTCCGCTGTCTCCTCGATCATCTTAGGACCGAGTATTCGCCGCTCTCCGACGTCGTCCCAATAGAGAGGGGAACGACACTTGCGACCATAATGTGCCTCGTAAGGAGCCATCTGAATAGAGGAATGATAGCTGTTGTTATACGCGAACTCGGCGTACGGCAACAGTGACTCCCACTTGGCACCCCTGTCAACAACCAAAGTGCGAAACATAACCTCAAGTGTCTGAATAGTCCTCTCTGACTGACCGTCCGTCTCCGGATGGTAGGCTGAACTGAACTCAAGCTTTATGCCCATCGCCACATGTAAGCTGTGCCAGAATCGACTGACGAATCTGGGATCTCTGTCTGATACAATAGTGACGGGCACTCCGTAGAGTCGGATGATCCCACGG